CCTCAATAAAATTTAACGGCTTGAACGAAAAATACACATTATGATTTCCCATTGCAATTAATTCAAAATGGATCAAAAACTGAAATATAAAAGATAAAACTAGAAAACTCTTAGAAGAAGAGTTAGAGTTACATACATATAAATTTTTGTGACCTTGAATTGGACAATGTTTTCTTACATATGACACCAAAAGCACAAGCAAATAACAATTAACTTCATAAAAATTAGTTATTTGTTCTTTAAAGGACACAGGAAAGTGAAAAAGACAACTGACAGAATGGGAGAAGATATATGCAAATCATGTATCTGATAAGGGTCTAGTATCCAGAACACACAGAAAATTCTTATAACTTAGCAAAAAGACAAATAATCTAATATAAAAATGAACTAATGATGTTGAGCATGTCATGTGTTTTTTGGCCATTTGAATATCTTTGGAGAAATATCTATTTGAATATTTGAATATCTTTGAGAAATATCTATTCAAATATTTGAAATATCTATATCAAATATTTGAAATATCTATATCAAATATTTGAATATCTTTGGAGAAATATCTATTCAAATCCTTTGCCCATTTAAAATTGATTATTTATGTTTTCATTTCTAAGAGTTCTCTATATATTCTGGATACTAGACAATTATCATATACATGATTTGCAAATATGTATCTGCTTTTTTACACTATACATGAAAAAACAATACTGATAGTAATGTGCTAAACACAAACTTCCCTCCAAGTTAAAAGTGTGAATTTAAAAGTGCAATCATGCCTCAGCCTACCCTGACCCTTTTTTTCCTTTAGTTTTTCCTAGACCATCATCTAAAGCAGGGGTGTGCAATCTTTTGGCTTCCCTGGGCCACACTGGAAGAACTGTCTTGGTCCACATACAAAATACACTAACACTAATGATAGCAGATGAGCTTAAAAAAAGTCAGGGGGCATGGTGGCTCACGCCTGTAAGTCCAGCACTTTGGGAGGCTGAGGCAGGCAGATCACGAGGTCAAGAGATAGAGACCATCCTGGCCAACACAGTGAAACCCCGTCTCTACTAAAATACAAAAATTAGCTGGGTGTGGTGGTGCATGCCTACAGTCCTCAGGAGGCTGAGGCAAGAGAATTGCTTGAACCTGGGAGGCAGAGGTTGCAGTGAGCCGAGATCGTACCACTGCACTCCAGCCTGGTGCCTGGTGACAGAGTGAGACAGTCTCCAAAAAAAAAAAAAAAAAAAAAAAAAAATCCCGAAAACCTTTCTAGGCTGCATGCAATACGAGTTGAACAAGCTTGAACTTAAGGTTTTAAAACCATCTGATGAACAAGAAAAGGTCTCGGCAAGGAAAGAGGCTTCTTTAAAGGTTTTCTATTGTAAAAAATAGCATTATAATATATAATAGCATTAAACTGTAATTTTTAAGAGGAAAAGAGAAGTAATTCTAAATCCTGCCATAAACTAGGACACAAACACACAATTTAAAAACAACAACAACAATTAGCACTTAAAATTACCATAAGCTTAAATGTTAAATTGTTAAGGGTGGGTTGGAGATGAGTGGTAGTGGGTAGGCGGGATGCTATATAGCTGATGTTGCTTGGCAGAATTTCAAAGTAACAATTAAAATGTGACATATTTATTACAATATGTAGAATATTTTTCAAAGGCTTTATTTCTCTGTTCAAAGATAGAGACTGTCCATGTCTCTTAAAATTCTTGTTTCAATGTGTAATCAGTTAAAAATAGTAATTTTATTTAAAAATGCATTAATCTTTCATAAATATCTTATCCATAGGAGAAAAATGTCTGCTCTTCTCTAATCGAAACATATTTGTTAAGAGTAGAATTACATTCAAATAGGAAGGTGATCTTAAATGTGAAATTATTAAATTTATGCCAACTACTGCTAATGCTCTATTTCTACCAATAATTAAGAGATTCTTGTAAGCCCAAGCTCAACAGCAAAGTCACAGGACAGCCATGCAACTTTTATACAATGACTCATTGTTGCTGGCGCTAAAATTCTATGAATTTCAATGAAACTTACAGACCTACCAATTCCTAACAAACAAGTGAGACTGTATACTGAGAAGCCACAAACAGTCATAGTAATCATATTCTGTGCCTCAACTTCATTCTTCTTGCTAGTTTTTGTTGGTTTTAGAATATGGCTGCAAATTTTTTGACTTCCCATCATAAGGCAAAACCTATGTCCCCTTTCCTTGGATATGGGCGGGTTGAGGACTGCCAACAGAGAAGGGATGCCAGGTAACCTCAAGGCTAGATCATACGAGGCCATGCAGCCTACTAGAACACTGAATCACTATGTAAGAACTTTAAATACTCTGGGGCTATCTTGCTGGAAAGGCTACCTTAGCCTCTCCAGCTGATAAGTCCCACGCACCCAGTCATTCCCATCAAGGTGCCAGAAATGTGAATGAAGAAACCAACTTGGAAGTAGACTCTCCAGTTCCAACTGTTGCAGTCCCTGGCTTTCAGCGCTTTCCTGGCTGTGGCACACTTGTAACAGCAGAGACAAGACATCCCTGTTGCATCCTGTCTGCATCCTGACTCACAGAATCACAAATGCTTGTTGTTTAATGTCATTATGTCTGGGGTGGTTAGTTTCTCAGTAATGAATAACTGGAACATAGATCAACAATTTAATTGGACAAACGTTAGAAGACTGTCAACTTTGGGCAAATAAATTGAAAGACTAGTAAAGACATGGATCTGTTTCTAAAGGAATCTACAACCCAGCATTAGATTCTTACTTTCAGAGACTAACAATTAGAGAAGTATCTGGCACATCACAGATAATCAATATTTGCTGAATAAACAAATGAACTATGTTATTTAGAATTGAGCGTTGTATAATACACATTTCTACCTGAATTTCAATGTTTTTATTCAAAAGAATAGAGAAAGGTCAAACTGCTCATCACTATCTGTTCAAATGGCATATAAAAATCATATTACATTTTATAATTTTTTATCTTCATATATTCAATAATTACTCTTAGTTGTCTGTATCAGGCAAATCACCACCTTTTCCAATCATCCACCTTTTCATTGCATCTTTCATATTATAGGCCTAAGATACTTTGGAAACGATAAAATTGGTAACTCCGATATTAATGAGCACACCTGGAAAATGAAACCTTCAACTGGATATAACTGCTTAGCCTTTACCAACATGTACATGAAAGGACAGTTTTCAATTCCCAATGTTTTACATTATCATTATAAATGGTTTGATAGGAAACACTAGTAATACTTCAAGTGCAAATTAAATTCTTGAATGCATGTTAAAGGAATATTCCTAAAAATCTGTGAAACTGTTAATTTCAGCTCTCAAACTGATCTGACCAGTCAGTTTCTCTAACATCTCATGACTGATGTTAATAAAAGGGTTAGAAAAGAAGCCTATACCCTAAAAAGAACAGTTCTACTGAAAGAAGTAAGAAGTCTAAAATAGACACGTATACTCAAAAGACCAGTGTCAGTTTCCAGGAGGCCTCTGCCATCATGTTCAGATTCCATGCTTGCTGGTTACAGAAGATATTAAAAAAAGTAAGGCTACATTATTACATGCATTTTCAAAAGTCTGTCTATCCCACTCTATCTTAGCTCCTAGTTATGGATAATACAGTTTCGATTTAAGCACTTTCTCTATAAATCTAAATGTTTCTAACATTTTAATAATATGTTGGGTTTTTTTTTCATTGTTTCTCATGTCTTAATAAACTCTGATATTTAGAAATAAATATCAATAATTTATGATACAAATAATTCTGATATTTAAAAATAAATATCAATAATTTATTGATAAGGAATGAACACATATATTCATGTGCACATGAAACTCTGACTACTACACAGCAGTAGAGAACATGACTTGACCTATGATAGAGTCAACATGGTTTATTATAATAGTAAATAAGAATATTAAAGCTGAGTTTAACTATACTATTAACTAACTTATCTTTGTGACTCAGTCTCATTCATAAAATGAGAGGGATTAATCTCCTTCAAGTCTATAATTTTTTGTGTGAGTACAATAGCAAGCCATTTTATATCAGATTTATACCCTTACATCTAAATGCAGTATGATGTACTATGCATTGTTTTTCACAGCAATCAAGCAAGATTACTGCAGATTTATACTGTACAACTGGCTTAACTTGAAACTTAGAAATCAGTATTTCTGACATTTTATGTGATTCTACACAAATGACATATATTTTAACTCTTCCTAAGTTAAAGATCAAGTCTTTTGCCAAAATCAAATTATAAAACTCACAAAATAGCTAAATAAATTACTTAACCTTTTAAAAAGCTTTTATTAGAACAGAAATCCCCACTAAATATTTAGTCTTCCAACTCCTAGTTCTTGTTCAGTCTAGTCCCTGAACCCAGAACCTTTACAAGATCTTAGCAAATAAAATCATGTACTTATTTCCATACTGCAACAAAATTATGATTTTTATTGGCTGTATAATATCCTATTGAGTTTATGTACATAGTATTTTTTAATCCTTCCCTACTTTTAAGTGATTCCAATTGACCAAACTATACACAATGTTGTATTGAACATATTTACATACAATTTTTCCTTCTTTTAGATTATTTCCTTAGGATAATAAGCTAGATAAAAGATTTACATTTATAAAGCTTTTAAAAAACAAACTGCCAAATTGCCTTATAGAAACAATCTATCATAATATCCTGTCACTCATTTGAATATATCAGTTTCGTATTACACCAGCGGAACTACTAACAGGTATAAAACAGTACCTCCTCACTGCAGTTTTTATATTCACGTTTTTGATAAATAATAATGTTAAATGCTGTTCCATACAACTTACTTATTGGATCTCTTTCATACATGACTTGCCCATTTACTTACTAGTGCTTTGGTTCATTTTGTTTTAATCAACTTTTTATGTTCATTTGAACCACCTTTTTATAACATGTGGAGTTACTTCTTTCATATTTTTTGCTTACCTGTTTTTGAGATGTGCCTCCAGATCACAGCGTTGCATTACATCTTGGCACACTGAAGAAAATGGACATAAAACTAACAATTTGTCTAGGAGTTTATGAACTAGAATACTAGACTTCTTGCACAACTTAAAATGAAGTCTTTTCCGGTCCAACGGACAGAAATCTTTCTCTTGTAAAAAGTTTCTGAGGCACTTGTAGCAGAATGTATGTCCACAGGGGGTGTCCAGTGGTTGCAGCAGGGGCTGAAGGCAAATATGGCAGACTAGGTCATCATCCACTTCATTCTGGTAATTGTATAAGTGGTTTTCTCTTGTCCAGTGCTGTTGGCCACATTCAAAACACAGGGGGTTTAGAGAAGAGGAGGAAGTCTGTTCTACAGACACCATCTCATCACTTGTTGTTCCCATTTTGAATCAATTCTGTGTTCTCATGTGTTAGGCTTCCACTTCAGGCTTGGTTTCCTTTAACAGACAGGGATGTATCTGACTAAAGTCAAGCTGTGTTTTTCTAGATAAGCAAAACAAACACATTTAAAAAGTTAATTAATATCAATCAAGATAGGTTAAAAGTATCAATATATTATTGCTGGTCAGCTTTTCTTAGTAAAAAAATTAAAGGTTCATCAGGTAATAAATTAGTCACAAAAAATGAAATTAATTTTCTAGTTGGCTAAGAAGAATGACTTATACTGCCAATGTCTTTTTTATTTATTATAAGTTTTAAATATTTTATTTATTTGCTTTTTGAGTCAGGGTTTCACTCTGTCACCCAGTCTGGAGTGCAGTGGTGCAATCTTAGCTCACTGCAACCTCTGCCTCCCAGGATCAAGCGACTCTCCCAACTCAGCCTCTGAGTAGCTGGGACTACAGGTGCACACCATCATGCCCTGCTAATTTTTTGTATTTTTTTGTAGAGACGGGGTGTTGCCCAGGCTGGTCTTGAATTCCTGGACTCAAGCTATCAGTCCATCTGAGCCTCCCAAAGTGCTAGGATTACAAGTGTAAGCCACTGTGTGCCTGGCCCCCACTGCCAAGTTCTTGATGAAAAAACAACTTGTGATGAAAGGTAAAGACACCATATATTATATAGTGTGACATAAGAAACAATCTGCTTGTTTTACTGACTGAAATCCCCAAATAAGTCATGTTCAACGGTAGTTTTAAAGCCAATTAATCTACATTATGTGCTAATAGTAATGCTGTTTGAGGTATATAATACATTTGCATGTCATTCTAGACCTGCTTCTCTGCTTCTGATTGACTATGCGTTTACAGTACAATACCAAAGATTGTGTCTTTAAAATGTAGTCTCAAGGATAATTCAGAATCAACTAACACAGGAACAGAAAACTAAACACCACATGTTCTCACTCATAAATGCAAGTTGAACAATGGGAACACATAGACACAGGGAGGGGAACATCACACACTGGGGACTGTCGGTGGGGGGGAGGGAGGGGAGGGATAGCATTAGGAGTAATACCTAATGTAGATGACGGGTTGATGGGGCAGCAAACCACCATGGCACGTGTATACCTATGTAACAAACCTGCATGTTCTGCACATGTATCCCACAACTTAAAGTATAATAATTTTTAAAAAAGACCTTTTCTCAGCACTATAGGAAAACTGAACTTCAAAATATGATTTGAATACTCTCTCCATATGTAACACAGATTATAGAAAGATATATCTGCATAGCATATATAAATAACAATGCAAACTCTGCAAAGTACAATACTATTTTATTCTATTGGAAGGAAAAAAAAAACCTGCTGTAATTCAGTTAATCAGATAAGATGTGTTATACATTTCAATTCCACCTCATATTATTCCATACTTCGATTTGGGCTTGCTTACTCAGAGCAGTAATCTACATGTGTGTGCATGTGTCCTCTCCAATATAAGTTTTTTTTTTTTTTTTTTTTTTTTTTTTTTTTTTT